ACAACATGTCAACCCTCTAACATCTCAACTTTTTTTTTGGTGAAAATACACATAGCCAAAGATACACCATTTCAAAAATTTCTACATGCACAGTTCAGTGACATTGACCACGCCCTTCCAATTGTGCTGTTATCCTCCTCGAACACTTTTGACTTTCATTACTCTTTGCCTTTGCGAATGCTGTTTCCTCTGTCTGAAAGGTCCTTTTCTTCTCATTTGCCTGGCAAACTCTTATTTATTGTTAAAGCTTAGCTTACATAGAACAATCTTTGTAGTTTTCCCTGAACCCTCAAATAATCAGTGTCTCCTCCATCGGTTTCTCTGTAGCAATGTATTTATTTAAGTCTAGATTTTTAATTTATGCTTTTAACTCTTCATCTTTTTTTTATTGTGCTTCAGGTGAAAGTTTACAGCTCAAGTTAATTTCTCATACAAAAATGTATACATACATTGTTATGTGACATTAGTTGCAATCCCTAAAATGTGACAGCACACTCCACCTTTCCACCCTGGGTTTCTTGCGTTCATTCAATCAGTTCCGGTCCTTTCCTGCCTTCTCATCCTGCCTCCAGACAGGAGCCGCCCATTTGGTCTCGTGTATCTGCTTGAACTAAGAAGCACACTCTTCACGAGTATTATTTTATGTTTTATCACTCAGCATGATGCCCTCCAGATTGCAATGTATTTATTTATTCTATCAGTTTCTCTGTAGCAATGCACTTATTTATTCTGAAAATGGACTAGGCTAACTCATAAGGGAGGGAACAAGAAAGGGAAGGGGGGAGCGCTCTGTCACTAGACTTATACAGCGGTGACTGCAGCGCTACGTGTTAAGCATATTGTCAAGCAGCAATGGTAAAATGAGGCTGGATGACCTTTAAGTCATGAGATGCTATGGCTCGCATCTTTCACAGTGTGTTCGCGCGTGCGTGTGCGCGCGCGCGTTTGTGTGTGTGTGTGAGAGAGCGCTAGAGAAAGAGACAGCGAGATAGAAACAGGCAGAGATGAGAGAGGAGATAAGAGGGAAACGCAGTACAGTAAGAGCAGATAGGCGGACCCAAATTTCTTCCGCTTTACATCAAACGCTGTGGCACGGAAGGTGAAAGGGGGCGGAAAGGGGGGGGACTGCACGCCCTCTAAGAGCGCCTAGCCTCCACAGCCTGGCGGATCACCTTCTGCTCCACCAAGGCCAGTACCTCCTCGCCTTGACTCATGCTTATTGTGCCAGGCAGGGCGCACTCTACCGTGCAGCCCCACAAGTGTCATCTCCTCCGTAACACGGTCCCCGCCAGGCTAGGCAGTGGAGCGCCGCACGACGCACCTACCCGCCTCCCGGCCACCGCCCTAGCAGTTCCGACCCTGCGCCAGCAGGCCTGCTCGATCGATCTTCGAGCCGAAGATGCGGCGGGGCTGGAAGATGGCTCTGTCGGGGGGATTGCGGTGTTGCCGCCAGGTACTGTCCTGGGTGCCAGTGCTCGTTATCGTCCTCGTCGTGCTCTGGTCCTACTATGCCTACGTCTTTGAGCTCTGCCTGGGTAAGTGGGACTGGGCACTTAAGGTAGGGAAATTATGCTCCAGCATAATCGCCTGCCCTATCCTTCACACTGGTGTCCCCCTGGGTTCTCAGCCATCATACTGCGGTTTTCCTTTCGCTCCCTGGAGAGCTCCGTGCCCCTAACCTCTGGCCTCCCAATATTTCCTGCGTCCTCCCATTAGGGTCCCACCATGTCGCCATCGCCTCCCACCTAGGGTTTCTTACATTATTTCCTGGCTCTACCCACAGTAATTTTCTGACTTTTCCACTAGAGCTCCCTTTTCTCCTACAGGACAAACACTTGTGCCTTGTACCCTCATTCGGGGAGGAGGGCACCCTACCTAACTGAGGAAACAACATAGCCTGTATCCTTAAATTTTCCTTGCTCACTAGGAATCCCATCATTGCATCCAATTAGGAGCTCCACCATTTTGCCATTCCCTCCTATAGGAACCCCAAAATATTTTCTGTCCTCTTTTACTACCTCCCTTTTACCCACACTGGGATCTATCCTTTTTTCGTTGTTGTTGTATAAACCTTTTTTCTCGTTCAAAAATTTATACACATATTGTTTTGTGACATTGGTTGCAGTCGCCACAATGTGACAGCATGCTCCCCATTTCCACCCCGGGTTCCCTGTGTCCATTCATCCAGTTCCTCTCCCTTCCTGCCTCCCTGTCTTGCTTTGGGACGGGAGTTTCCCATTTGGTCTCGTATATTTGACTGAACTAAGGAGCACATTCCTCACGTGTGTTATTTTTTGTCATGTAGGCCTGTCTAATCTTTGTGTGAAAAGTGGGCTCCGGGAGTTGTTTCAGTTCTGAGCATCCATCCTTTTTTCCCCAATCCTGTCACACTGGCTGAAGAGTTTCACATCTTCTCCCACTTGGGATCCCACAGTACACCCTGTCCTATCCCACTGGGATACCATCTTTTCATACAGTGGTAGGCCTTCAATTCTCTTTCTTTGTAGGCTTCACCATTTTCTCATCCTCTCCAATGGGATGGGAGTCCTTTAGTATATCCTGTCCTCTCACACTTCAGCCCCTGATTTATTCACACTGGAGTTTACCATAGTCTTCTACCTTCCCGCTTTGAAGAGCACTCACTTCTTCCCATTAGGGGCCCCACACCATTTCCTAACACCTCATACTAGTGACCCTACTTTTGTCACACTATGATCCTGCCTTGTTCACTGTCTTCTCACACTAGTGTACTCTTACACCTTCTGTGGTAGCCTCACACTTTGGAACTGAGTTGGTGAGATCTGACTCTTTGAAACTTAGGAGGCCATAGCCCCACCCTTTGAAACCCAGGAGGCCATGGCTCCACACTTTGAAACCTCAGAGGCTATGGCTCCACCTTTTGACACCTAGGAGACCCTCGTTCCACTCTTTGAAACTGAGGCAACCCTGCTTCCTGTGGTCCTTCGAACAGTTCTGCTGATCTCTGAGCTGCTGCAGGAATCGTCCTTTTCTTTTCTTGGAGGACGACAGATGTAGCTCCTTTGGTCTGTTTCCTGCCTGTAGAATTCCAAGAGGCACACAGCTTTCTTTCCTTTAGTCCTGTCCCTGTCTCCTTATGTATAAGCTGATGTGTATTCTGCTGTGGTAGCTGGTTAGAGCCATCAGTCACAGGCTTAATGTCTTTAACAGAAGATTGTGTAGTCACATCCTTGGTGAAAATGCTAGGACATGTGTCCTTAGTTTGTACAACAGAATTTTCCAAATCTTTAAGCTCTGGTTTCATTTTGCACAGTTCATTTTTCAGTCCATCTCTTTCCTCTCACATTTTACTATAAGTGGCAAAGAGAAACCATGTGGCCCATTTAAGATCTTCCTTAGAAATCTCCTTAGCCAAATATCCAAGTTTATTACTTATGAGATCTACCTTCCACCAGACTTTTGAACATAATTCAGACAAGTCCTTTACTGCGTAAAAAGCATTGCCCTTCCTCCATTGTCCAATCACATGTTCATCATTTTCTTTTAAAACCTCGCCGGAAGCACATGTAAATTCCACATATCTAGAAATATTCTGTTGATGGTGCCCTGTGTATTCTCTAAGATGATAGAGACTTTCTCTGTAGATCTCACTTCCTTCTGAGTCCTCACCAGAATTACCTTTGGCATCCATAAGTCTACCAACAGTCTTTTCAAGGCAATCTAGGCTTTTGCTATTAGGCACCTTACAAGTCTTCTAGCCTCCACCCATTACCTAATTCCAAAACCACTTCCGCATTTTAGGTATTTGTTAGAGCAATACCTCACTCGCTGGTTCCAAATTCTGTCTTACTTATCTAGTGCTGCTATAACAGAAACATTACAAGTGGGTGGCTTTAACAAACAGAAATTTATTTGCTCACATTTTTGGAGGCTGCAAGTCCGAATCCAGGGCTCGGCTTTAGGGGAAAGCTCTCTCTCTGTGTTTGCTCTGTGGGAAGGTCCTTGTCTCTTTTCTGCTTCTGTTCCTAGGTTCCTTGGTGATCATGTGGCGTGTATCTTCCCCTCCATTTGTGCTTGCTTGCTTATCTGCTTTTATATCTCAAAAGAGATTGACTTAAGACACACCCTACACTAATACTGCCTCATTAACATAAAGTAGAAAACTCATTCTTAAATGGATTTATAACCACAGATTTAAGGGTTAGGATTTACAACACATATTTTTTGGGGAAACAATTCAATCTATAACACCCGCCCACGAGGGTTCTCTCTCATACTCCTTCAAAGGGCCCTTGCTATCCTTTCTTTCTCCTGGGAAACCCACTTCTCATCTCCTACAGTCTTCTACTGTTAGCCCCACATTTTTCCATCCCCTTTCTCTGGGGTTGCTAGATATTATTTCCTCTTCCTTCCCTATAGGATTACACTTATCCCCTATCTTCTGAAACTGGGGAACCCCATCCTTTTCCCCTGGGATTTCTAATATTATTTCCTACCCGTCTCAATGGGGACCTCATTTCTTTTTCCCTCTTATTAGACCACCTCTTCTATAAATCTGAGGTCTCCTCTTGTACTCTGTCCTGTTACATTGGGGAACACCCCATTCTTTAGCTATTAAATGATTTTCCCGGTATATCTTATTCCTTCAAACTCAGAATTCCACAATATTTCCTGACACAAACCCCAAGACCCCCCCCCTATTTTTTCCCCACTTGGATTTCCTCTAGTCCCTGGTCCTTATCACTAACAGGTTTATAGTGTTCTTATTGATTCACAATGGAGTTTTCATATTATATCCCGTCTTCTCGTGACAAGACCCTTATTTTTTCTTATCTTGCCCCTGTCCTGTCATATTGAGGAATTTCCATCTCCTCCCACTGGATATTCCACTAACATTTATTGTCACTTCAATACTAGAATTCCACTACTATTGCTGTTAAACTTGTATCCCTCAGTGTTCCCTATTTATTCAGTGTGAGAATTCAGCATATTTTCAGTCCTCTCACAGTAGGACTCCTACTTGTCCCACTGGATATCCCTTCACTCCCAAGTCCTTCCAAGACTCCTTTATTTATTCACACCAGACTCCTCTTACCTTGCAAATTATGTTTGGGGTGCCACTTCCCCCATCCCAGGACCTGCATCCACTTATAACTTCCTTCTCTTATAGAATTGACAAAGCAGTAGTCTACCCCAGGTAGATTGGGATTAACTAAGGAGGCATGAGATAACCATCTCTTCCAAAATGGAACTTTCTTCTACTCAGCTTAGAATTTGAATTTTCTCACCTCCTTCTTAGAGATATTATGAAAAGTACAGAAAGATATTTTTAAAAAATTAATTCAGTTAGTTGCTTTCATAATACAAATTTAGGCTTTTGAAAATCTAAATCTGGTATTGAGGTTCACTAAGCCTCAAAGCTTCCCAGTGACTGCAAGTTTTTCTGTTCGCAAACCTTACCACTTTAGCTTTTTTAAGTGATTGATTGAAGAATCAAAAGTTCAACACCATTATTACGGTGTGGACTTTTGTTCCCAGGATCAATGCTATATTGTAACCACTATTAAAATAGGAGTTTTTCAGTACATTCACATGAGCTTTGCCAAGAAATCTTTAAAAAATTTAATAAATATAATGTGCAACACTTATATAGTGCTTACTCTGTGCCAGGCACTGTTCTAAGTAGATATATTACCTCTCTATGTATTAACTCGTTCAATCCTTACAATAACCATATAAGGCAGGTACCATTATTATTCCCATTGTGCAGATGTGTAAACTTAGGCAAAGATGAGCAAACTGAAGTAAAGACCAAGTTAGAATCAGTGCAGATAATCAGCTTTCTTATAAGTTCTTATAGAATAATGTAATATTTATAGCTGAAAGGAGCTTAGAGTTTGTTTTTATTTTATTTAACATATTTGCTTGCCGCATGGCAAACACTGTTTCTGACTAAGTGCACACACATACACACACCCACATACCACTTAATCCTTACAACAACCTTATGAGGTATGTACTATTATTACACCTGTTTCACAGATGAGTAAACTGAGATACAGACAGATTATGTAGCTTGCCTCAAGTCACAGAGCTAGTAAGTGGTTGAGCTTGGATTAACAACCCAAGCAGTGTGGCTCCACAGTCCATGCCCTTATCCACCACACTATCTTAACTCCCCATCTCCTCTCGGCTAATACAGAGGTCAGACTGGTGACCCACAGACTAAATGCAGCCTGCAGATAACCCGTATAAGAAATGAGATGTATTTGATTTGGCCTTTGCAGTGTTTTCTTAACATTTTGTGTCATTTTCTATTATTTAAAAATCAGGAGAGTAAGGCAGCCTTGACTTCCAATTCTGGATCCACCAATTCATCTTGCCATCCTCATTTTACAATCTTTCAGCAAATGAGGGACCTGGTTTTCAAAAAGGTTAAATGAAATTTAAAAGTTGCACATATAATAAATAATGGAGATAGAATTAGAAATTAAGGCCGCCTGATACTAAAGGCCATGCCTTTTTCCATTACAACTGAATTAACAGGTTTGAGTTT